ATAACAGAAATATCACAAATGGATGGCTTCATTGCAGGCCACTGAGATGAAGACTTGGCCCAACACAGGATCTAGATGTGCCAAAAAGCTAGAAACCTTCCTCAAAGCTTCCTCATGTATGCTGAAATTAGCTCCACACAGCAGATTCCACCATGGAGTTGGTTCCAATCTCATCATGAGGAATAACTACATCCAGCTGCCCAGCCACATAAAACCACAGCCAAGTTGACCCATAGATACTATTCTGGTTACCTAGTGCTGCTCTGACAATAATATACCACAAATGGAATGCCTTAACAAACAGGAGTTTATTCTTACAATTTGGAGGCTTTAAGCCCAAGTTCAAGTGCCAGGCTCTAGGGTCTGGGTGAAAGTTCTTCAGCCTTGGGATCCAGCTCGGCCTCCTGCTCCTGGCCTACTGAGCTAGAGGCGTTTCTTCACTCAGACAGCTGCTGGCTGCTGAGGCTTAAAAACCTAAGGTTGACAAGTAAAAAGGCACAGTCCCAATGTTACCAAACCACACGGCAGGCCATTAATTCAAGTCCATTGTAAGTCCCAAGGTAGACCATGGCGGGCTGCTCAACAAATGCATGGCTACATGCAGGGTCCAAGCATGCCATAAGCTAGAAACCATTCCCAAGGCTTCTCCTTATATACAAGAAGCAGACCACATCCCAAAGGCAGCTACTCAGCTGCTTGTGGTAGATTCTACCATGGAGCTGATTGCCAGTCTCATCATGGGGAATAACTACCACCAGCTGCCCAGCCACTCAACCAGGCCCAGCCAAGTTGACACACAACATAACCACCACAGATACCCATCCCCCTCTCAAAAAACAAATATACAGCCATTAAATCGATTCAGACTCATAGTAACCCTACAGGACAGAGTAGAACTGCCTCATAGGGTTTCCAATTCTGTAAATCTTTATGGAATCAGATTGCCACATCTTTCTCCCACAGAGTGGCTGGGGGTTCAAACTGCCAAACTTTTGGTTAGCAGCCAAGTTCTTTAACCACTGCAGCACCACCAAGGTCCCTAGATACAAAGCTGATATCTGCAAATAACAGATAATAAATGTAATTACTGTCTTGCTGTATGTTATTTGTTGTTAAAACAAAATATTTATGAAATATTAAAGCACTTGGTTATCTTAATAGTTATGTAGAGGCGTACAGTCACTTGAAAAATTGTTAATATTAACCTATTAAAAACTACTCAGGATACTGTGATTTCCATTGTAAATAATCACAATAGGAACCAATGATCTAGTTCATTCAACAGCTCAGGGTAAATTGATGCATCAAAGATGGATACAATAACTTCCAAGTGTATTATAATGGGTGAATTTGACAGTATGTCTAATTTTATATATCAGTTAATAAGGAGAAAATTTCCGTGATGATGATAACAAAAGAGAATGAATGTAAATATTTTCTGAATTCAGGGAGAAAGTTTTGGTAATTGATTTATGTGGTATATTTGCATTAAAAGAGATGAGTTGGCACATTGACAATTGCCAGATCATGTTATTTTCCTGGATCTTTTTTCTTCCAGATGTCCAGGGAACCAGGATGCAGGAGGTCATTAGTAAGAAATTCCCAGAGAGAGACAATTTAAACTGTTGACATTCGCAATGAATAGCAAACAAAAGAACACTCACACTCAATGGTTAATATTACTTTTCAGCAGTTCCCTAGAGTACATTTCCTCAGAACTCAGATCTCTGATGGGTAAAACACCACAGGGATAATAAGAAATGGAACAGTTGATGTAATTCAGTAAACATTTTTTAATTGCTCTTATGTTCTTCTATTGATTTTATTTGGCTTTATATTTTGCATTAAAGACCTAGAAATTATGCCTGGAAACAATGAATATGTCGTGAGGAGAAAAACACCTAACCATAAGTAAAGAATAAATACAGGTTTTCTCCACTATCTGAAAGAGATCATTCCTATAAAACCTTTTGTAAGTTAAAATACCATAAAACAAAGAAGCAGTGACCATTAACATATGGGAATATGTTTTGAGCATTCCTAAATCCAAACATAGTCAACCAAATCATACCAAATTACACACAAAACCTAAAATCACACTGTAACAGATAGTGTTCACAGACACAATTCAAAGCTATGGTGGCTTGATGGTGAGATGTTGAGTGTAGGACCTGGGAAGGGCCTTGGTGACTCCACTGTCACTGCTCCGTATGTGTACTGCCTCTTTAATGGCTTGCTGCAAAACAAATGCTGAATGCTAGCTTTGCTTTCTGCTGTTTTTAATAATAGCAAAAATCCTCTTTAGATTTATTTTGGTTGGTGGAAACAGGTACTAATGTAGTCAAACAAACTCTCACTCAAACTCACTGCCTTCTAGTTGATCCTTACTCATAGTGATCCCTCCTTGGGTTTCCAAGGCGGTATCACTGCGGAAGTAGATTGCCCAACCCTATTTGTGAGGAGTGGCTGGTGGGTTTGAACCGTCAGTCTTCCAGTTAGCAGTCAAATGCCTTAGGCACTATGCCACCAGAGCTCTTTTGTAAAAGTGAAGTGATGTTAAGCAAACTTCAGAAAAGCAAGGGACACCCATAATCCTTCTTTTAACTATATTAAGGATCTATTAAACTTTTCCATGAAACTCTGGCATCCCTTTCATTCTACCATGCTTTTTCTCACATCTAAATGAATAAAAACCATGTTGTGCAAGCTTCCTTAGAAAAGTCTCTTCTATTTGCTCCTTCCTCTTCATTTCTGTTGTCAGAGTTCTACACCAGGTCTTCATTATCTCATGCCTCCAGGTTTGGTCTAGTCTTGTCACTTCTGATTCATCCTTCATATGAAAACAAGATGAACCTCCCCTTAAACACCATCTTCATCATTTTAGTTGTAAGCTCCAGAATGTATAATAGATTCTTATAGCTGCTTCTGGTTTACAATCTCAATTGTAAACTTCAAATTTCCTTTCAAATTAATTCAATGTTCTCACTATTTCCCAACACATTATGCTATCTCCTACTTCTACTCTGTTGTCTTCATTCCAAGACCTACTTATATTTTCCCTTCAGCTTGACTACACTAGTCCTTCAAGGTCAAATTCAAGGCTTATCTTTCTAGAGAGCTTTTATTGATAATTCTAGCACATCCATTTCCTATACACCACTTAATTCTTTGACTATCTCTAGTATACAATTTCATACAATATAAATAAGAAATACTGGTAATACACACACACACACACACACACATAAATGTCAGCATTGAATTTATAGAAATGTTATGTTGTTCATTGTTTCATGTGTATCAGTCTTGTCTCTCCAACTAGACTTGAAAGTGTTTTGCAGGCATTATTAGTTTTCTTGTTTGTACCTTTAACTTCTGCACATTGCTGACCTTATTGGTATTAAAAGTGTTAAACAAATGCTTTTGATTGACTTATCATTATATGTACCTTAATATTTGCTTCTTATGGACATTTTTGTTTTCTTCTTAGAATTTTTTGGACTAAAAGAGATCACTGCTAGATTGTATTATTGTTCACATTCATTTCACTCCCTCCTTCCCTTTAGGTGGAGTACACTTGCCTCACCCATTGATTTTGGCTTGGCCATGTGACTTTCATTGGTTCATGGTCTGTTAGCAGATATGACAGATGCCACACCCTAGCAGAAGTGCAATAGGCACTGCAACTTTCTACCGGCATCTTTTGCAACTGTCCTGCAGTGGAACAGCATGTCCCAAGATAAAGCTCTTCCTTTTACTTGGGCTCAAGAATGAGATGATGCATAGAGTAGACGTGCAGTTGACCTGGATAACCAATGCACAGCCCTCATGCCTCAAGAATCAGGTTTTTTTTTTTTTTTTAAATCATTGAGACAGTGGGATTGCTTGTTTGTTACAAGGACAAAGCTGACTAACACAGACAGAGACTTATATAGTCTCTAACATCTTCATTTTGCCCATCTTATAATTAGCTAATAGAAGAGTTAGGAAACAAATTCTGGACTACTGATTCTTATTTTTATGTAACAGAAAATTTCAAGGTCTTTGTTACCCTAAATTTTGGAGAAATGAAACTCAAATAGTTTGAAACATAAGACATTGTTGCTCTCTAGAAATGCCCGCTTGGTCTGGTTCTAGCTTTCATAGAACAGATAGAATAATATCTAGAAAATAACAAATATACTAACAGTGTCAAATGGTTTATTTTCAACTGGAAAATACTAATGTCTCTTAGCTCAATCTTGTTTCTTAGAGATAGAATGAAATGCAATGACCTTTGTGAATTCCTTTCAGCAACCAGGCCTTTCATGTACATTGCTAATTTAATACATATATTTCAAAAACAAAACAAAAAGAAACAAAACTTCTTCCTCAAAGAATTCTCTTGCAATAATAATATAAAAACAGAAAATTCTTAAGTGGTGATGGGTGTAATTTCTTAATAATCTATTTCTTTCTTTTCCACAACAAAGACTCATGTCTACCTTGCCATCAAGTGAAAGACTAAAATTCTTACATTTTTCTTTTGCAAAATTCAGATGGAAATAGCTTTATCATTGTACTTCAGTGCAGCAGAGCTTTAACTTGGTCCTCAAGTTTATTTTATGCTTAGGTGTTCCTAGAAATAAATTAATCTCTCCTAAATCTATAATATTCAGTCTCTACAAACTCAGAAACTTGATTGCTCATAAAGTCGTGACAGAAATTACTAACACACTTTCTATATCAAGTTTTTCAAGAATGAAATCAGTTACATGAAGAATAAATTTTCCCTTTTATGAGAAAACCATCTTTTCTATAACCACAAGAATTCAGTACATGCTTTAAGACATGAATGTTTTACTGATCAACCACTCACAGCTACTTTTGTTGTTGTTGTTGAAAGTGAAATGCTTCTCCAAACTGAGAAAACAAAATGTAATAAATCAGATTTGGTAACCAAGAGGATTTTCTTTGTCTAAATTCCCCCTCTGCTTATTTAGGCCACACACAAATCTTACCTTTGTGAAAAAATATCCCTGTAAGGACTACCATGTTGCAAGGCAATTCCATATCCTCGATCAGCAACAGTATTCCCAATGGTGTAAAAGGAACAATCTGGGTCATTGATAGCCACATATTCCAATACAGCTGCATCCCATACAAAAGCATAATTTCCAAATTTTACCTGTGAAAAGAACAAGAACAAAAGGAGAAAATAGGATTGAAGTTTGGAATTTCAAGTTACATATAAGAAAATAAATATTACACTGGTATATATTTAATTGATCAAAAATAAGAAAACATTTATGTCTAACTAAATTCTTTTCTATTCTGAATGAGTATTTGGCCACTGGTTAATTTATAGCTCTGTTGTCCAGGAATGTTAAAAGTGGAATGTTATCTATGGTCCTAGGCAATAATGTTTATAGTAAAAAAATGATCCCTGAGAGGTAAATGTCATCTGAACTGGAAGAAGAATAAATACATAAAAGGATGTTATGTATTGGAGCTTCTCTGAGTATAGTAATTCTTTTAAATGGTTCTGGCCTGGGAAGCTATGCCTTTGGAGCTGTTATAAGAAATATTGACTCCTTTGAGCTGTAAAGCTTCTAAGCCAGGCAGGCTTCTGCACCCACCCAATATGGAAGTCAACTTGTTGTACCTGATCTATACTCTAAACAAATAGGTAATATAAGTCAAACTGAAGAGAATGACTAATACTACCAGCCAGCAAGTTGTATTTCCTGTACTATGTCCTTCTGATTTAACCTGTTGCCTGCTGTAATGGTAATCTTGTACTTGGATTTAGAAGAAACTCACAAGGTGGACATTGTGATGAGGAAAAAAATAACTCAACAACCTTCCTTGTCATTATTTAGGGAACAAAACATTACTCTGAGTGTGTACAATATCTTTCAGTGGTTATCTTCCCCCCCCCATAATCACTGATATACTAAATCACAAATGTACCAACCACAAAGTAAAATACAATATCCTTAATAAGGTTCATCTAGAAAAATCATTAAAGATTAAAATAGAATTTATGGTCTTGTAAAATAAGCAGAATTAATCATTATTAGATCTAAAAGTTTATTCATATATAAATACAGATAATCAGAAACTAGAAATGTAATAAAATATACAGTCTGCCCTCTGCATCCTCAGGTTCAACATCCATGAATTTGACCAATGAGAAAAAAAAAAAAAAAAAGTAATAGCAAGCAGTTAAGTGGTCAAAGTAGTCCCTCAAAGGGTAAGTTGTAATTGTTGTTAGGTGCCTTTGAGTCAGCTCCAACTCACAGCGACCCCATGCACAGCAGAATGAAACACGGTCCGGTCCTGTGCCATCCTCACAATCCTTGCTATACCTGAGCCCATCATTGTAGCCAATGGGTCAATCCATCTTGTTGAGGGCCTTCCCCTTCTTTGCTGATTCTCCACTTCAACAAGCATGATATCCTTCTCCAGGGAATGATCCCTTCTGACAACATGACCAAAGTAGATCAGACAAAGTCTGGCTATTCTTGCTTCCAAGGAGCATTCTGGCTGCACTTCTTCTAGGACAGACCTGTTTGTTCTTTTGGCAGTCCATGGTACTTTCAGTATTCTTTTCCAACACCACAACTCAAAAGCATCAACTCTTCTTTGGTCTTCCTTGTTCATTGTCCATCTCTCAAATACATATGAGGTGACTGAAAATACCATGTGTTGGGTTGGACTCACCTTTGTCTTCAACGAGGCATCTTTTCTCTTCAGCACTTGAAAGAGGTCTTTTGCGGCAGATTTGCCCAATGCAATGCTGCTGCTTCCATTGGTGTTGATTATGGAACCAAGTACTATGAAATCTTTAACAACTTTAATCTTTTCTCCATTTATTGTGATGCTGGTTATTGGTCCAGTTGTGAGGATTTTCATTTTCTTTATGTTGAGATGTAATCCATACTGCAGACTGAAGTTTTTCACCTTCATCAGTAAATGCTTCAAGTCATCCTCACTTTCAGCAAGCAAAGATGTATGGTCTACGTATCACAGGTTGTTAATGAATCTTCTGCCAATCCTGATGCCACATTCTTCTTCATATAGTCCAGCTTCTTGGATTACTTGCTCAGCATACAGATTGAATAAGTATGGGGAGAGGATACAACCCTGACACACTCCCTTTTTGTTAGAAAGACAGCTTTCTGGTCTATGTACTGTTTCCTGATGAGCACAATCAAGTGTTCTGGAATTCCCATTCTTCCCAATATTATCTATAATTTATGATCCACACAATTGAATGCTTTTGCATAGTCAATAAAACACAAGTAAACATCTTTCTGGTATTGTTTGCTTTCAGACAAGAGCCATTTGACATCAGCAATGATATACCTTGTTCCACATCCTCTTCTGAATCTAGCTTGCAGTTCTGGAAATTCTCTATCAATATACTGCTGCAGCCACTTTTTAATTATCTTCAGCAAGGTTTTACTTATGTGTGATATTAATGATATTGTTTGACAATTTTCACATTCTGTGGGATCACTTTTCTTTGGAATAGGTACAAATATGGATCTTTTCCAGTCAGTTGGCCAGGTAACCATCTTCCAAATTTCTTGGCATAGATAAGTGTGTGCCTCCAGGGCAGCATCTGTTTGTTGAAACATCTCAATGGGTATTCTGTCAATGCCTGGAGCCTTGCTCTTTGCCAAGACCTTCAGTGCAGCTTCAACTTCTTCCTTTTATACCATTGGTACTTTATCATATGCCACCTCCTGAAGTGGATGAACATCAACCAATTCTTTTAGGTACAGTGACCTTGTATTTTCCTTCCATCTTCTTTTGATGTTTCCTGCATCATTCAATATTTTGTCCATAGAATCTTTCAATATTGTAACTTGAGGGTTGATTTTTTTTTCTTCAGTTCTTTCAGCTTGAGAAATGCTGAGTGTGTTCTTCTTTTTTGGTTTTCTGACTCCAAGTCCTTGCACATTTCATTATAATAATTGATTTTGTCTGCTCGAGTTGCCTTTGAAATCTTCTGTTCAGCTCCTTTATCTTGTCATTTCTTCCATTTGCTTTAGCTACTTTCCATTCACGGGCAAGTTTCAGAGTATCTTCTGACATTCATTTTGGTCTTTTCTCCTTTTCTTGTCTTTTTAATGACCTTTTTCTTTCTTCATGGATGATGTTCTTGATGTCATCCCACAATTCTTCTGGTTTTCAGTCATTGGTGTTCAATGGATCAAATCTATTCTTTAGATGGTCTCTAAATTCAGGAGCGGTGTAATCAAGGCCATATATTGGCTCTCCTGGACTTGTTTTAACTATCTTCAGCTTCACCTTGAACTGACATATGAACAAGTTCTGTTCCACAATCAGTTCCTGGCCTTGTTTTGGCTGAAGATATTGAGCCTTTCCATTGCCTCTTTCCACATATATAGTTGATCTGATGCCTGTGTACTCCATCTTGTGAAGTCCACGTGTATAGCCATTGTTTGTGTTGTTGAAAACAGTATTTGCAATGAATAAGTACTTGGTCTTGCAAAATTCTGTCATATGATCTCCAGCATTATTTCTATCACCAAAGCCAAATTATCCAACTACCAGTGATTCTTTTTGTTTACAACTTTTGCATTCCAATTACCAGTGAAAATTAATACATCTTGATTGCATGTTTAGCCAATTGCAGACTGCACATGTTGGTTATAATCTTCAATTTCCTCATCTTTTGCTTTGGTGGTTGGTGTGTAAATTTGAACAATAGTATTATTAGATGATCTTCCTTATAGACATATGGATATTACCCTATCACTGACAGCATTGTACTTTAGGATAGATCTTGAAACATTCTTTGTGGCAATAAATGCCATGCCATTCCTCTTCAATTTTTCATTCCCAGCATAGTAGATCATATGGTTGTCTGATTCAAAATGGCCAAGACTTGTCCATTATAGCTTACTAATACTTAAGATAGAGATCTTTATGCATTCCATTTCATTTTGACAATTTCAAATTTTCCTAGATTCATACTTCATACACTCCATGTTCCAAATATTAATGGATGTTTGCAGGTGTTTCTTCCCATTTTGAGTCCTGCCACATCAGCAAATGGAGGTACCAAAAGCTTTATTCCATCTAAATGATTAAGATTGGCTCTACTTTGAGGAGGCAGCTCTTCTCCAGTTGTATTTTGAGTGCCTGCCAAATTGAGGGGCTCATCTTCTGGCACTACATTAGACAATGTTTCAGGGCTATTAAGGAAGTTTTCCAGTAATCTATCAGACAGAGTTTCACTACTATTTATAAGGTTTTCACTGGCCAATTCTTTGAGAAATTGATGGTCACTTCCTTCTTCTGAGTCTGTCTTAGTGTGGAAGTTCCACTGAAACCTATCTACCATGAGTGACCCTGCTAGTATTTGAAATACTGGTGGCATATCCTCCAGCCTCACAAAAACAAGCCACTAGAGTATGACAATCTGATAGACAAATGGTGGCTAAGAAGGAGTATAAAGTGTTATTTACATAGGATTTATATCATGTTAGGTATTATAAGTAACCTAGTTATGATTTAATGTATAAGGAAGGATGTGTATAGGTTATATGCAAATTTCTTTTATATAAGGGACTTACATTGCATCCATGGATTTTGGTATCAGGGGTTTATTTCTTAGAACCAGTCCCCTATGGATTCTGAATGATGCTATGACTATATTCAGACTATATTCAGTAATATATAAAAAGAATGCTATGTATGATTCTATAGTAATAAAATTAAAATATCGTTAATTTAAATAATTTCCCAGGTAAAAAGAAATTACCAATTTTCCCAAAAAGTAGAAAGAAATTTCTCTAGCACAATGAATAAATAAAAATAAGTTTGATAGTAAAATAGGAGAAGAATAAAAATATCTCTTAAAATGTCAGCAAACTGATTTAAAAGGTATACAAAAAGAATAATACAATATTACTAAATAGAAAAAAGAAACTTGGGTTCAGTATTAGAAAGGTTACTAGGACAATATATCGTATAAATGAGTCTTTAAGAAAAAAAGTAAATAATCTTTCAACAGACCTTAGAAAGGCAATTGACAATGTTCAAAACAATTATCTATCTATCTGTCTATCTATCTATCTATCTATGGAAAACATTCTTCTTTAATGAGGTAAATAACTACCTCAAATAAGTAGCAAATAAATAGGAAGT